GGGAGCCCGATGTGGGACTTGATCCCGGCACTCCGGGATCATGACCTGAGCCGAAGGCAGTCGCTTAACCAACTGAGCCACCCAGGCGCCCTATAATTTAATCTTTAAGACAAGATTGTTGTAAAATACTGTTATTCTCATTTTCATAGCCAAGGAAACTGAGGTGTGGGGAGATCTGACCCATTTCCCCCAGTGTCTCACCTATTAAGTTACCAAGCTGGCATTCAAACCCAGATCTGTCTGATTCCAAAGCCTGTGCCCTTAACTTGTAGTCTCCCACAGCCAGAGCCCTGAGGTTGAGGGGGCTGCCGGACATGGGCTGCAGGAACAGGGCAGGTGAGCGCAGTGTGAAGTTGACAGGCAAGAAGGGGAGTTTGGGTGTTGGTTGGGAAAGACCATGGGGGTTACTGGAAGGGACCGAGGAGAAGCTACGTGTAGGGGCGGGAGTGAGCAGATGGTGCCGACCCCTCGCCCTCCCGTGCATCTTTCCCCCTGCAGGCTGGTGCAGAAAGCGGAGCTGGTGCGGCTGTCCCAGACACTGAGCCTGGTGCCCCGGCTGCATTGGCTGCTGGTGGAGGATGCCGAGGGCCCCACCCCACTGGTCTCCCGGCTGCTGGCTGCCTCGGGCCTCCTCTTCACACACCTGGCGGTCCTCACCCCCAAGGCCCAGCGGCTCAGGGAGGGTGAGCCCGGCTGGGTTCGGCCCCGCGGTGTAGAGCAACGGAACAGGGCCCTGGACTGGCTGCGGAGCGGAGGGGGCGCTGTGGGGGGAGAGAAGGACCCCCCTCCAGCCGGCACGCGGGGAGTCGTGTACTTTGCAGATGATGACAACACCTACAGCCGGGAACTCTTTGAGGAGGTGAGCGGTGGGGGGGGACGGGGGGATGGGAAAAGAGGCAGGTGGGGCCAGCCTCACCGGTTGCCTTGGTTACAGGTGGGAGGAGGGGGAGCAGTGGGGCAGAGTGGCCGCAGCGGCCCTTCCTGCTGCTCCCTTGCCCCTGGGCCACACTCTGTCTGTTTCTTCTCTCCTGACCTCTCTTAGATGCGCTGGACCCGTGGTGTCTCAGTGTGGCCCGTGGGGCTGGTGGGCGGCCTGCGATTTGAGGGCCCTCGGGTACAGGATGGCCGGGTTGTGGGCTTCCACACAGCATGGGAGCCCAACAGGCCCTTCCCAGTGGATATGGCAGGATTTGCTGTTGCCCTGCCCTTGCTGTTGGCTAAGCCCAGTGCCCAGTTCGACGCCACTGCTCCCCGGGGCCACCTGGAGAGCAGTCTCCTGAGCCACCTCGTGGATCCCAAGGACCTGGAGCCACGGGCAGCTAACTGCACTCGGGTAAGGAGCTGGAGGTGGGCAGAAACCTGGCTCTGGGATATGGAATGGTGATGGGGAAAGCGGAGTAAGGCTTTGGGGAGAAGGATCAAAGGATGGGTGTTTGAACCAGGAGGGACCCTCCAGAGCTTGGACTCAACCTTGCTTACTCTCCTGTAGGGGAAGCTGGGAGCCAGGCAAGGAAAGAGGTCTCCTGGGCACCCACGTAGCACAGAGGGGGTAAGGGGTAAGGCCCCATTTTAGAGGCACTAAAGGCCCCTGCCTTTCACACTTTGCAGCCAACGCTGCGTGTGTAGAGGGGGTGAGAGAATCCGTTCCACACTGAGGGCCCCAGAGGCCTCATTACAGCTGGGTCCAGCTCTAACTGAAACGCTCCTGGGACAGGTTCTGGTGTGGCACACACGGACAGAGAAGCCCAAGATGAAGCAGGAAGAGCAGCTACAGCGGCAGGGCCGAGGCTCAGACCCAGCTGTTGAGGTGTGATGGCAGCCCCACCCTGACTACCGCCGCGTCAGGCACGAACCTGGGGGACTGGGCCCCTGGCCTGCCCAGGATGCAGTTTTCCAAATCCTGACCCCTCAGAGCCAGGGGCGGCCCTTCTGCCCCCTCAGCCCCAGGGCGTGGCCCAGCTGCTTCTCCCCTCCCCCAGCCTGCCATGTGGCACTGCCCACAGGCTGGGGACAAGCGGCCCTTGTGTTGAGCCAGGTCAGCCCCGTCTGGGGCAGAGCAGAAGGACAGACACTCAGGAGGGAGGGCTGCTGAGCAACTGGGTAACTTATTGGGGCTGGGCATGCACTGGGGGGCTGGAGGAGCTGGGCTGGACCCTCCCCACCTGAGCATGCTGACCCCCCTCCTACCTCCAGAATAAAAGATCTCAAGCTGGAGGGGCCTCTGGTTTCCTTCTTTGCGCACGTCTGGTTCTTGCGTTTGATCCTTACCAGAGTCAACACCTAGGCGTCCTGGCTTCTCTATCAGACAGAAATCAGTTCTCCCAGGGCCCCCCACCCCCTGGAAGAGGAAGATCAGTGGCTTCAGTCCAAAAGCTTTATTGAGTCTGTGTGCCAGGACCAGTCTCCAGTCCTTCCCATGTCACCTTCCCATCACCCTGGGTGCTTTCTGTTCCCCGGTGGCTCTTGGCCACAGGGCTAGGCCCTGGACACCTAGTTTTCTCACCGCCCCCATTCCAGCTCCGTGACTATCCTTAACCCCTCCTCTAATCCCAGGGATCCCCCCTCCCCGACCTGGAGCCTTGGTAAGGAGTTGTGAGGTTTTCAGTCTTGTCCATCCCTCCCCCCTCCCCCCCCATTCCCCACCCGAACGTTCAGGCCACTAGGCCTCAGGTAGACCCTCCTTAGGAGGTGCCTCTTCTGGTGGGGCCTCCTCAGGTGCCGGCGTGTCAGCCACCCCTCCCTGTCGCCACGCTGTTTTCAGCATGTCCTTCAGCCCACTGGGAAACAGATAGCCCTGGGTCTCTCCCTCCCCGTCGATGACTCCTCCAAGCCCCTCCAGTGCCGTCTGCAGGTACCGCAGGCCCAGGAGCACCAGAATCTGTGGGGAAGGCAGGGAGAAAGAGGTCAGGGAGGGTCAACTGCTCCTGGGGCCAGGGCTGGAGGCAGTGAGGGGGGCCAGATGGAGGGAGCCCTCAGACACTTTGCTAACTCACCTGCAGCAGGAAGGTGACAGCCAGCATGCTGCCCAGCATGCTCGCCAAGTCCTGCAGCTGCCCCAGCAGCACCCTGTGGCATCCTTGGGCCCAGAGGTTTAGGTTGGGCTGACGGGGATCAAAGAGAGGGTGGACGTGGGGCTCTGAGAGCCGGCTTTGCAGGCAAGGTCTGGGCGAGTGGGGGTTGCAGCAGGAGAAAGGGACACCATCGATCAGATATAGGCCTTCCACGTTGCTCTGGATCCGGCTGCAAAGGGAGGGGCAGGGATGTTAGGATGTCTGGAAATAGAGGCCTCGGGAGAAGCTACGGGGCTCAGGAGTCGAGAAGGGAAAACCGAAAGACCTTTGCTGACTGGTTTACTGTGTGCGAGGCATGCATAATTCATTTACCTTCACAATAAGTCTGTAAGATAGGTCCTATTATATCCATTCTTCAGAGGAGGAAACGGGCCCAGAGCAGTTGGGTAACATGCCCTGGGTCACACACCTAATAAACGGCAGATCTGTAACCCGAGGCTCTCAATCACTACGCTCTATTTATTGCCTGTGGGGTGAGGTGGGTTTCAAGGGAGGAGGAGGCGAAGGAGGGGAAGGAGACCAGGAGGAGTGGGGGGAGGGGAGAAACAAAACACTCACTCAACCACGTCCTGGTCATTGGGATCCAAGTAACGGCTGCTGACCCACTGGATCCCAAACCAGTCCTTGTACCCGTGGCGCCCGCAGCAGTGGTGCCTCAGCTGGAGCTCATCCAACAGCCGTTTGGCATGACAGTGTCCGGGCACCTCTGTGTCTTTGTAGTGAGCCAAGGCAGTCCCCAGGCCCTCCTCCAGCCCGGTGTCCAGACTCCCAGGTAAAGCCAGGGCTAGCCCCAGGGCGAGGACCAGAAGACCCCCGCCCCCAGCAGTGCCAACCACCAGCAGTGGGCCCAGGACCTTTCGCCAGGGAGGGTAGTGGGCCGCATCCAGGCTGGCCCTGCTGGCTCCCGCACCCACCAGCCCTGTCCCCAGAGCCACCGCACCGGCTGCCAGGGCAACGTGGGGCAGGGCAGCAAATGGGCAGGAGGGAGCCAAGAAGGTGTGGAGGTGCCACAGCTGGGCCAGGAGATGCCCGCTACAGAGGAGGGCGAGGGCACCGGCCAGCGCCAGCAGCCAGGAGAGGAGCCAGAGCCCCTGTGCCAGACGGATGCGGGGCTGGAGGGGCAGCACCAGGGGCAACACCGGGGCCATCTCCCATCTCCGCCCAAGGGAAAGCAGAGCTGTCAGGGACGAGGGTTGGCCGCGCGGCACGATGCTGAGTCAGCCCAGCCCGGCTTGAGCTGGGCTAATGCCACCCTGACCCCAATACCCTGGGAATCCGCGCCCCCCCGCAGCCTTAATAACCCGCTGCCCTGGCCCCTGCCAGCCCCAATTCGAGATGCCTTGGCCTTGCCCCTTAGGAAAAGCCCCGCCCCCGGGCAAGGGGCCCAGTTCGTGACCCCGCCCCTGCCCCCTCGCGGAAGTGGGGAGGGGCCGGTCGGCTCTGGCCCTAGGGGCTAGGCGCTGGGGGCTCGGAGACCAGAGAGGACCCCAGGGAGTCAGGGGGCGGGGATTCCGGCAGGGCCTGGAGGGCGGAGGCCCGGAGGGGGCCCGGGGGTCAGCGGGTTGGCCCTGCCCGTGTCCTGAGCGGCGAGGCCCGGACAGGGAGGGGTTACCAGGCGGCCCGGCCCCCCCCTCGTCCCGCCCCCCCTCCCGCGCTTCCTGGCGGCTCCGCGTCCGGCGCCTG